TGACAATGCGGACATCATTCCAATTCTGATATGCAGCATAGTAATGCAGAGATGTGGTGTGGAGAAGCACGGAACTACTAGGCCAGTTGCATTCGTAAGAAGGATTTAAAACTGGCAAACAGTTTGAAATGTTGTTTTAGCTTTCATATGTGTTAGCTACTTTGCTTTTATTTGTTTTGCAAACCATGTTTTGTTCCTAGATTTCATCATGATCTATAAACAATGGACAAAGTTCTATACAGTTTTCATTTCCTATGCAAACATTTTATTTTGATAACGCACACTTCATGTCTCCCAGTTAGAACAGCCACTTTTATTTAAAAGCAAGGGCACATATCTAGATGGTTTATTTTTGTTTGTAATATATTTACTCTGTATTACATTTGGCAAAACACATTAGTATTGTAAAAACATAAAAATACAGTAACCAACTAATATAGCAAATGAAACATATTGAGGTCAACAGAACTTGCTCAGTGAAAACCAAATTAAAATAGTACATAAAAATAATAATGAGAATGTCTCCTATGTCACCATCATAGCACACAGGAAAAACAGCTCTGAATGAAATGCAATAGAATAAGAACATGGTGAATAAGTCCTTCTCTCCTATAGCCACCTGGCTAATCTCTGATGGCACACATAATAACTGTTAATAAACTATTCTCTGCTATTTCATATTTGTGCCATGAAAACTGTGACAATCAAACTTTACAAGGTAAATAGCTGTTAAAGTATTGGAATGAAGGAAGTTATTAAAAGTTATTAAAAAGCCAACCTTATGCATTGGTCAATGGTGTTTGCTTGCAAACTCTGACAGAGTTAAAACTGTTTTTAATGTACTGTACATGTAGCAGACAAAACAATAGTTTAGGGTATAATAAAGTAAGCCAAGAAAATTCTGCTTACACGGCATATATTTTAGAAAGGAAAAATACATAATATTCATATCAGTGTTTGACATTACAACTTACAAACACGAGAAAATTTATTTTTATGTTACTTCAGAGACATGGATCATGGTTATAACGACGCTGCTTATGCAAATCCCACCTTTCCTATATCTAAACTGTGTTTAAACAGAAAAATAAAAAAATTACAGAACCCACTCAGCTTGCTCTTCACAAGTCACAGTTACTTTGGCTGACTTCAGAAACGTGCCTAGAGAGACTATTAAATAGTCTGCAATTTTATCTGCTATTAAATGAGGTATCTGATTTATTTCTGGATTAGTTTCAGATAGTAGATGTAACTGTTCATATTGCTTTTGGGACGATTCCCCTCAATAAAAACAAAAGTATTTAAAAATAGCACTCTATTTTTTTTAGAAAAATCATTATATTGTACAATTTAAATACCCGATGATGAAGATGATTTTATTCATTTATTCTCAATTCCCGATAATGGGACCCAATGTAACAAGCATCATATTTAAAACAATACAAAATTAAAATATACAAAAGCGAGAATAAGCCTAAATTCAAAAGTTTGTTCATCACAAACACATTCTTCCAGCAACCAAGGAGTTGACTATATATAGGAAGTCCCCGAGTTACAAACATATGACTTAAAAACGACTCGTACAGAGTGAGACAACAGGAAGTGAGAGAAATCTGCCCCTATGAAGGGAAATTCACTCCTGAAAGAGTTATCATGGGTAAAACAGGTCTCCCCTGAAGCTTTCTTGCAAATCCGTTTCCACAACAAACCAATTTTTTCAGGGAGAGAAAGTGAAGTTAAACCATCTGAACAGGGGCACAAACCATAAGAGTATTAATCCTTCTGTGCTATTCAAAGCTGTGGCAACAGAATAAAACTATCACAGATAGAGAATCCCTATCTGGAATTCTAAAATACAAAATTGTCCATATGGGAGGCTGAGATATTGACATCACTGTTTTCTGATGATTCAATGTTCACAAAATTATAGTTTCATGCACAAAATTATAAAAAATACTGTGCACAAAAATACCTTTAGGATACGTATATAAGGTGTATATGAAATATGGATAAATTTAATGTTTAGACTTGGGTCCTAATTCCAAATAGGTTATTACATATGTATATGCAAAGATGAAGTACTTTGGCCACATCATGAGCAGAAAGGAAAGCTTAGAGAAGACAATTATGCTGGGGAAAATGGAAGGAAAAAGGAAGTGGGGCCGATCAAGGGCAAGATGGATGGGATCCTTGAAGTGACTGGATTGACCTTGGAGCTGGGGGTGGTGACGGCCGACGGGGAGCTCTGGCGTGGCTAGTCCATGAGATCACGAAGAGTCAGAAACGACTGAACGAATGAACAGCAACAACAAATATGCAAATATAGGTATTCCAAAATTGGGGTGGGGGGCGGAATCTAAATACTTCTGGTTCTAAGCATTTTGTGTCAAGGATGCTCAACCTGTATTGATGCTTTATCAATATCAAGTAGAAAGAGATCCTCACCACCAGCACCAATACACATACAAATAAAATAGCAAATGAGCCTAAGGACAGATCTACACTGACCATTCTTCAGTGTGTGGTGTGGGTAGGCAACACACACTTCAAAGGCATACCTCAGTGCACTTTAAGGGCTTTAAATCAAGCTCACTACAGCCAGAGGAAAGTCCAAAATAAAGTCCTTAATGCACATCAGCACACTCTAGTGTAAACCACATTTCACAGAAAACCCCTTCCGTAGAATGGGAATCACTGTGCAGAAACCCAAAACACTCTGCTGATCGAAGGATGTACATTCCGGTGGAGAGGTTTGAAAAAAAACCCCACATTCTCTGCATTTATCAAGTCCCACAGATACTGTGGATCCTAGAACTGGTTCACGGTCAACCTCTGCGTTATATGAAATTACTATACAGGTGTCAAACCAGTTCCAGTGTTTCCAATGTAATCAGTCACACACCGACACTGCTTCCTTCTATGCCAATTTTAAACTCATCTAAGAGCTTCATAAAAAGTGGAAAACACCAAAAGAAATGTGATATGGAAATGCATATCTGTACTGTGGCAGTTGGTCCATCTTCCCCGCTGAACTTCAACACCTCTCTTGTGAACACATAAATGACAGATTTAGGGTCTTTCCACACAGCCCTGTATCCCAGAATATCAAGGCAGGAAATCCCACATTATCTGAGTGTGGACTCAGATAACCCAGTTCAAAGCAGATATTGTGGGATTTTCTGCCTTGATATTCTGGGATATAGGACTGTGTGGAAGGGCCCCAAGTCCATACTCTGATAATGTGGGATTTTTTTTTTTTTGCCTTGATATTCTGGGATACAGGGCTTTGCGGAAGGGCCCCCAGTTCAAAGCAGATATAGTGTGATTTTCTGCCTTGATATTCTGGGATATGGGGCTGTGTGGAAGGGTTGCGATATAAAATCCACATTACCTGCTTTGAACTGGATTATATGAGGCCCCTTCTACACTGCCACATAATCCAGATTGTCAATGCAAATAATCCGCATCATCTGACTTGAATTGGATTATATGAGTGTACAGTGCCATATAATCCATTTCAAAGCAAATAATCTGGATTTTATATGGCAGTTTAGAAGGGGGCTCTGTCTCCAGAAGACAATCATAAAAAGAACCTTAATACCTGGCTCTTCCGCTGTGCTTTTGATGAATAGGTTTACATCCTCATACTAGTGCATCAACACTTTGTCATTAGAGTACATGCCCTCCCTTGTGGGAAAGCCTGATCCCACAACCACCACTATAATGAGCCCTCCTCCGCAAATAATCTGTTTCTTTCTTATCTTGCCTGAGTTTTAATCAGTTTTTAATCAGTCTCTCTTTTAATCATTACATGTAGCCCGCCCACTGTCATTGTGATTGTGCCCATTGTAATTTTATATTGCTATGTTTTTCACATGTTCTATGTAATTATGTTGTTGTTGTTTATTGTTTGCATTTTCGGTTTTATTTTATTGTGATTTGTTGTTTGGACTTGGCCTCATGTAAGAGATTTTTTTTTTGTCGTGTCAGGAGAGACCTGAGAAACTGCAAGTCGCTTCTGGTGTGAGAGAARTGGCCATCTGCAAGGACGTTGCCCAGGAGACGCCAGGATGATTTGATGTTTTTATCATCCTTGTCATGCGGGGACAAGAGAATCCTCCCACAAGGATGATAAAAACATCAAAATCATCCTGGTGTCCCCTGGGCAACGTCCTTGCAGAAGGCCAATTCTCTCACACCAGAAGCGACTTCTGACACGACAAAAAAAAAATCATCCTTGTGAGAGGCTTCTCTCATGTCCCCGCATGAGGAGATGGAGCTGATAGAGGGAACTCATCTGCCTCTCCCTGGATTCGAACCTGCGACCTGTCGATCTTCAGTCCTGCCGGCATAGGGGTTTAACCCACTGCGCCACCGGGGGCTCCACTATTGGCGAGATGGTGGCGGGGTATAAATAAAGTTTATTATTATTATTATTATATTGTTATATTCAGCCACAAGTGTTTGCCTATGCATATAAGTATGTTGCAGAAATGTAATGAGAAACCTCTAAGGGCCTTTCCACACAGCCATATAACCCAGAATATCAAAGCAGAAAATCCCACATTATCTGAATGTGGACTCGGATAACCCAGTTCAAAGCAGAGTGGGATTGTCTGCCTTGATATTCTGGGATATAGGGATTTGTGGAAGGGCCCTGAGGCCCCTTCCACACAGCTGTATAAAATCCATTTTGAACTTGATTATATGGCTGTGTGGACTCATATAATCCAGTACAAAGCAGATATTGTGGATTATCTGCCTTGATATTCTGGGTCATACAGCTGTTTGGAGGGGCTCTGAGGTTTAAGCTGACTTTCTCACAAGGAAATCCCATTGGGTTCACTGACTGATTCCCAAATGTAATTCCTTTCAATAGGATTGAGACTCCTTTTTATGTTCTCTCCCCTAAAATCTCCCGGAAGGAGTCCAGAGCCACGTCGCAGCCTTCCTGCTTTCCCTCCCTGCTTGCTTTCCTTCCTTCCTTCCTGGGGACTCACCACTTCCCGGGCCCGGTTGGAGAAGTCGCTCCTTGGCCGGGAGCGCTTGAGGATGAGGAGGGCATCATCGCGGGAGGAGTCGCTGCCGCCCAGCGGGACCCCGAGCGCCTTGTTCCGGGTCTTCACCGTCTTCACACTGGCTTTGAACAGCAGCGTGATGTCCACGGCCATGGCTGGGCTGAGGCGGGCAGGTGGGCGGGCCTCTGCTGCCCACGCGTCCTTCCCTCAAAGCCTTCCCTCTCGCAACTGGGCCGCGCCCGAAGGTTCCGCCTCCACTGAGTGCCCTCTTGGTGACGCCCTCGCCCTGTCTGAAATTGACAGGTCTGATAAAGCGTTTCCTTGGCAACCTCTCACTTCCTGTAGGGACTTCCTGTAGTGGAGTAATCTCGTCCCCCAAAGATGTTTGGACTGCTTTTTTCCAGCATCTGATTTTGAAGCATGGCATGATTCTCACCTAGAATCATACAATTGGAAGAAACCTCATGGGCCATCCAGTCCAACCCCCTGCCAAGAAGCAGGAACATTGCATTCAAAGCACCCCCGACAGAACAGCCTCTGTTCAAAAGCCTCCAAAGAAGGAGCCTCCACCACACTCTGGGGCAGAGAGTTTCACTGCTGAACAGCTCTCACAGTCAGGAAGTTCTTCCTAATGGGTTGTTGTAGGTTTTTCCGGGCTATATGGCCATGTTCTAGAGGCATTTTCTCCTGACGTTTCGCCTGCATCTATGGCAAGCATCCTCAGAGGTAGTGAGGTCTGTTGGAACTAGGAAAATGGGTTTATATATCTGTGGAATGATCAGGGTGGGACAAAGAACTCATGTCTGCTGGAGCTAGGTGTGAATGTTTCAACTGACCACCTTGATTAGCATTTAATGGCTTGGAAATGCCTGCAGGAACTTATAGAGAGGTGATTTGATGTGCCTGATTGTTTACTCTCTGTTGTTTTGCTGTTGTAATTTTTGAGTTTTTTAATACTGGAAGCCAGATTTTGTTCATTTTCATGGTTTCTTCTTTTTTGTTGAAATTGTCCACATGCTCTGAGGATGCTTGCCATAGATGCAGGCGAAATGTCATGAGAAAATGCCTCTAGAACATGGCCATATAGCCTGGAAAAACCTACAACAACCCGGTGATTCCGGCCATGGAAAGCCTTCAACAATACATTCTTCCTAATGTTCAGATGGATTCACCTTTCTTGTAATTTGAAGCCATTGTTTCACGTCCTAGTCTCCAGGGCAGCAGAAAACAAGCTTGCTCCCTCCTCCCTATGACTTTCTCTCACATACTTATACATAGCTATCATGTCTCCTCTGTCTTCTCTTCTTCATGCCCAGCTCTTTAAGCCGCTTCTCATAGGGCTTGTTCTCCAGACCTTTGATCATTTTAGTTGCCCTCCTCTGGACACATTCCAGCTTGTTAACATCTCCCTTCAACTGTGGTGCCCAGAACTGGACACAGTATTCCAGATGTGGTCTAACCAAGGCAGAGTATATTGGTAGCATAACTTCCCTGAAGATCTGTATGTGTTAAGAGTGAAAAAGCGTTGGGTGTAATGAAAGTGAAAGACGCTCCTCATAGGGCTTGTTCTCCAGACCCTTGATTGTTTTAGTCACCCTCCTAAGGACACTTATCTCCCGCGATGCCATACTCACAGCCGTGAATCCCAAGGAAATTACACTATGCAACATGTTCCCGGGTTATAAATGCCATTTCTGAATTAGTTCTTTCATAAGAAAATGAGAATGTTTAATTAAACAGACAAAACTTTGCGTTTGCAGGTTAACCTGCAGCACATTTTGCTATGGTTTTTCAATGACTCTCTCACCAGTCTCAACCAATTCAACATTGTTTGTGGCAGCCACAAAAGCAAACTTTCTGGGGTATAACAACTACTTTCAAAGTAAGTTGTTGTTCATTCATTCAGTCCACTTCTGACTCTTCATGACCTCATAGGCCAGCCCACGCCAGAGCTCCCTGTTGGCCGTCACCACCCTTAGCTCCTTCCAGGTCAAGCCAGTCACTTCAAGGATGCCATCCATCCATCTTGCCCTTGATCGGCCCCTCTTCCTTTTTCCTTCATTTTCCCCCAGCATCATTGTCTTCTCCAAGCTTTCCTGTCTTCTCATGATGTGGCCAAGGCACTTCATCTTTGCCTCTAATATCCTTCCCTCCAATTAGTAATTGGGCTTTATTTCCTGAAGTATGGACTGGTTGGATCTTCTTGCTGTCCAAGGCACTCTCAGAACTTTCCTCCAACACCACAATTCCAAAGCGTCTATCTTCCTTGGCTCAGTCTTCCCTATGGCCCAGTTCTCACATCCATAGGTGATTATGGGGAATACCATTGCTTTTACTATGCAGATCTTCATTGCCAATGTGATATCTCTACTCTGCACTATTTTATCGAGATTGGTCATTGCTCTCCTCCCAAGAAGTAAGTGTCTTCTGATTTCCTGGCTGCAGTCTGCGCCAGAGTCTTACTTCAAAGTAAGTACCGCACAATTAAACAGGAAATAACCCTTTCAAACCAGGAACAGATTTTTTTACCCTCCAATTTTGTTTCATAGTGTCATTGGGAACGTGCACCCTGCGCAAAAGGTGCTGCTGTATAAAAATTGTTGCATTTATTGATCTGAGAGTTGGTTTCCTTTGCTACCAGAAGAGGCCACTGCCTGCAAATGTCTGCCTATTTAGCTGCCAAAAGTTCCTTACAGCTATTTGATAAACAAAACAGTATTAAAACCATGCCCTGTGTATTCAATAGCAATTTAGTAAACCCTGATTTGGAGGGATTTTGTTGTGTTTTTTTGATGACCCCTTCCACACAATCAACAGTGTGGTGTGGTAGCTAAATAAACCAGTGCTTTTCTAGGCTGCATCAGTAGGAGTATAGTGCCCAGATTGAGGGAAGTGATTGTCTTGTTTTGTCTATTTTATTGACTCCATTCTTTGATCAGACCTTACAGGAATAATGCGTCCTGTTCTAGGCACCACAATTTAAGAAGGATATTGTTATGGAGGGCAACCTAAAGTAGCCTGGAAGCCAAAACCTTATTAGGAGCAGCCTAGGGAGCCGGGTATGTTTAGACTGGAAAAGAGAAAGTTAAGAGGTGACGTGTCAGACCAGGTGTGGATAATCCCACGCCTGGGGTTCGGATGCAGCCCCTTGGACTCTTTTTTCAGGCCCTCCTCTCTCCCACTGTCTTATCCTTCCCTCCCTTGCTTGCTTGCTTCTTTACCTTCCTCTTTCTCCATCCCTCCTACCCTCCTTCCTTCTCTTCCACTCTTTCCTCCCTCCTTCTCTCTTTCTCCTTCCTTCCCTTTTGTCTTCCTTCTCTCTTTCCTACCTACCTCCCTCCCTTCTCCCCCCCCCTCCATTCCCTACCACCCTTCCTTCCAAACTTCTCTTCCTCCCTCCCTCCCTCCCTCCCTCTCTCCCTTCCTTCTCTTTTTCCTTTCTCCTTTCCTCTTGGGCAGATGTTTAGTTGGGAGAAGAGAAGGTAGAGAGGAAGCATGAGAACCATGTTTCAAGATTCCAGAGGGTATCCCATTGAGGATTTCCTGCTGCTCTAGAGACACAAGGGAGCAATGGGTTCCAATGGCAGGGAAAGATATTCAACTGAAAAGATTAGGAAGACCTTTCTGAGAGTAAGAGCAGTTGGAGAGTGGCATAGGCTGCCTCAGAGTGTGGTGGAGTCTTCTTCTCTGGAGGATTTTCCTCCAAGACTGTCTATTGGGAGTGCTTTGAATGTGTTGGACTGGATGGCCCTTGGGAATGATGGGATAAAAGGATGGGAATGACATACTAGCTTCCCCTTTTCCTCCTAGAAGTTAAATGGATATTTAGACATTCGTTGAAGAGAAAAAACAGAGCCATGTTACACACAAGTAGAACGCTTTAACCAACAGCGTCATGGCATCTTCTGTGTTATACTCCTGCAAACTTAAATAGTCTTCTGCCAAGTTGACTTATCTTCACCACAACTTCCATTAATAGATCACCAGCTTAAAGTTAAAAGAAAATAATTTCAAGTTCTTCTGATGTTTAAAATGTGGAGCCCTGTTAACAGAAGTCAAAGAATTGAAAAACAACCTCACAATTTGATCTTGTCGAAAACCAGAACATTTTATTTTATTTTTCTTTACCCACAGGCCAGCTTACTGAGTTGCCAGGTAAGGATAACAAAAAGCCTTTGCCACATCGTCTGAACTGTTCTTAAGTTGTGACTTGATTAAAACAGTGTAATATAAATAGCTGTTGCATAAGGTGATGAGTATGCACCTTTCTCCAGAAGGAATGAACCTATGCTAAAATAGATCCAGAATGGGTCTAAGGCTAAAAAGAATCCATGCCACTAGTTGGTATTTGTGATTCTTATCAGTATTCATTTGGCCACAGTAAGCAGCCTATCATACTATCCTCAATACCCATTTGGTTCTCTGGTTTTGGAAGTTATGCAGGTTTGGGTCTGGTTATTACTTGGGTCCCTTCCACACAGCTGAATAAAATCCCACATTATCTGCTTTGAACTGGAAAATAATAATAATAATACTTTATTTATATTCCGCTCTATCTCCCAAAAGGGACTCAGAAAACCCAGTTCAAAGCCGATATTGTGAGATTTTCTGCCTTGATATTCTGTGTTATTTGACTGTTTAGAAGGGCCCTTAGACCACATGTGTCAAACTCAAGACCCATGGGCTGAATCCAGCCTGCCATGTCATTTTATGTGATCATCCAAATGCTGGACTACAACACCTGTATTTCTCATTAGCCATCATGACTAGAGCTGATGGAAGATGGAATACAGTAACATCTGGAAATTTGTTCTGTGTAGTCAGAAGAGTGGGGTTTGAATGTAGATACAAAATGTCCTTTAACTTTTCCCTCAGAGCTACAAATCTTGTTGGGCTGAGAATCCCATTATACTCAGTCTGTGTGGCGGATAATCGAAAGTGATGGGAGTTGTCATTCAGTAACATTTGGGGGACACAAATGGGGTAAAAACTAAAGAGTTCTGACCACAATTGGCCCTCTGCATCCACAGATTCAACAGCCCTTTGAAGTCAACTATAAGCCTGATGTGGTCCTCAATGAAAATGAGTTTGACACCCCAGATTTAGGCAGTAGACCATCAGACAACGTTGGATTTCTCCAGGTAAGGTTCGAAAGTAAATTCTTAAGAGCTTCTACCTGTTGAAGTTGACAATATTGGGTTCAATGGATCAAATGACT